AAAAAAAAATCCCTGCCACGCTATAATTATCCATTTAATTGCAGTTGTGTGCAGTAGCAATGTTAATTAAAACCCGACCGAACGAGGTTTTCCTTGTTGAACCCGCCGGCCGGAGAGTATCAGTCCCCCATCGAACTCACTCACTTTGTACGCCGTCCGAGGCACGTACGTGGTCGTTGTCGCGTGGTTTACGTGTTTAATGCTACACGAAGCTAGTCTAGTGTCCGTCCGGCTGGGCGACAAACGTCTGGTGAGCTTTGTTTGTGGCAATTGTTTTACCCGCTCCTTGTCCTTCTTGTTTATCTGTCCGCTCTTTACTTCTAAATGAAGTTTTTCTTTTTCGTTGTACGCGCGTAGACCTTGATAAAACCTGATTCTTTTTCCAAGAAGAGAAGAACTAAGTGTCTACTCGGGGAATACAGACGTCCCATGTCCGTTGTACGTAATAGTTACTGTACAATCTAGTACTGGAATTCCAAACTGACTCAGTGGTCAAATTTGCCTACGCGCGTCTACAGGCACTGATTTTAGGAAGATCCGAATTTATGATCAATGGTCTGTTTGTTTTGGCGTTCATATGCATCGACGGCCGCTCCCTTGTTTTATAGCGTTACCAGTCAAAAAAAGAGTTAATAGCAAGTCCGGATCAAGCATAATTAGGATTCAGACCGTTTTCATAATCGGAAAGACTCGACAGGTCTTTAGTGTTATAATGCCAGCATCGATTCTTTACATACTTGTAAAGTGACACTAGCCTTCATGACTTGTCTTAAGATATTTAGCACTTTGAACGCTCATTTCGCATATGGTCAGTGTGATTTGGTTTACATGGGAGTGCGTTGTCCACATCATGACGCGCCTGTACGTGAAAACAGCACAGTAATGAAGCCTGCTCTGTGTCTCATGGTCTGAGAGGGGAATAACTAGGCGGAACGCTAAATAAAAAGGAAAGATGTAAATGTTCGATCCGCGTGTCAAATAAATTTCGTCGTAAAATTGTTGTTCCGTTCGCCAACGTTACAAACTTATCAACAAACTAAATTCTTTATCCGGTAACTGTGATGTTTTTTTTGTGTTGTGTTAAAATCCTCCCGACTGCCACACACGGTAATTTGTTACTACCTTATAATCGTTTGATTGTTGGGGTTACCGTATCGTGTGAGACGTAAACACAAACTAACTACTAGTGCGGAACCTAAAGTCACGTCTCGAAGTACACTACTGGGTCTGTTTACCCGACTTGTGCGACGGAGAACGCAAGAATAAAGTGCGCAAGGGAGACGGAGGTAGAAACATAGCGGCAGGCGCACACACACAAACGTAGGTAACCAGGTAAGGTCCGTAACTGTTAATCAAGCGTCGGCAAGGATTACCGACGGTACTCGTAGTAACGACGACTAATGTTTACCTTGGTCTCGTCTACTAGATGACCTCGGTAATCCCCCTTTCGCCCGACCTTGGTTAAAGTTTCAGGACCTTACCTGCCGGTACACTACGTTGTGTGTGTGTCGCCTACGTTTCTACTCCCTCTCCCCACTTTCATGTCTTTCTCCCGTCGCACAGTCGTTAAAGACAAAAAAAATGAACAACAAAAATAAATAAAATCGCACGTCCCTGTGATGTGAATATCGCGGTTATCGTCATGACACGATATATCGTTCAGCCCTAATACGAACTATATTAAACAAACACATTGCTAATTCATACTTTGGTATTTAAGTCAAATAAGCAACAACACAGTGTATAAATACAGATACAAATACATCTTTGTAAAAGATCATTGATTGTAAAATAGTTTAGGGGTGTGTTGAGACAGAAGAGTTTGTCATGCCATTATCGTATGTTAATCTCTGTACAAGGACGAAGGACTTTCTTTGCTTTGTTGACAAATCAATGTGACAACCGAACCGTGATTCAATGGCATGAGATTCAAATGGGCAGCTCTCCTATTGACGATTCAAATCATTGACTTTACTATCAATAAATATCTTGATTAAATTAAGTATGAATCAAAACAGTGATTTCCAAGCCTTGGGAGTGGACCTGTAGCAGGCCATTGATAATTTAATGCTGATACTAGAGCAATACCATTATGTAAAAGGAAGTCAATGGCTATTCATCTCGAAGTGTTGGGACTTTGCTTTTTTCATCGCTCCCTGTCACACTCACAAGGAAAATGCTCTTGAAGTAAAGTAGGCAAAATCATCAGTCAGTCAGCCCCCTCTTAATAGAAAGTAAAAATAGTTTGAGCTTTATTGTAGGAAAAAACGAGTGTGAGTTTTATCAAAACGTTTGATCTTTATGTTGTTATTAAAACTAAATCGAAGTAGAATCTAGGAAATGTTTCCTGGTGATGTGGACTGAGTGTGGGTATGGTGTGTTTCATGCGTCTCACCTTCGATGGCAGATGTCTTCAGACGGCGGCAGAGGCCCTGCACGTCTCCATGCGTGTCCTGGATCTTGCTGACACCCTCGGCGCTCCGCAGCTCCATCAGCTCCCTCAGGTCCATCACCGTCACCCCAAAGTCCCCGTCATGGTTGCCCTCTGCAACCGAATTCCCCGGAGGGTGCTCCGCTGTGTTGTTGGCCATATTGGTCCTTCTTCTTTGTAGTTTTGTTCCTCTTGAGTGTCTTTAAAGTGTTCTAAATGTCAGACTGGGTCGTCAGTTCCCAGGTATTGTGGGTAGTGTAGTTTTCACAGGAGGCAGGTGGAGATGAACGTTGAGGTTAACTCCTGACCCGGTCGTGCATGCTCCTCTCTGGTTACCACGGAAACAAGGGAGTAAACATCGTTTTTGACGCTGCAGAGGAAACAGAAAGACAAGGTTTTATAAACCAGATCCAGACAGGAAACAGTCCCAACATCATCACCAGCAGACAGATCAGTTTGGTTTTTACTAATTAATAGCGCAGAGGCCAATTATAACCAATTAGAGGAGAGTTTTTCATCGCAGATTATTAAAGGAGTCCGCTGAATCACTGAGGTCGTTAAGATATAAACTGATTATTGCCGTGCTGCTCCTTTGAGATACCGTCTGCTCTGAGGTTTTTTGACTCTGACGTAGAAAGAACAGTATTTTATCCAGGGCATTACCGAAAAAAAACAGAAACAAACACTTTTATTCAACCTTTTAATACTCCCATTACCACTTTTATCAAAATGTTTGTTTTTTTAAAAGTCACATTTTTGCAAAGAAAAGACAAATAATATAAAACAATTGACAACCTAATGTACCCAACAAATACACCTGCTGGACAGTTCTGAATCCCAAACTCAGTCAATCTAATGACAGTCATGTTTATGTATGTATTTTATATATTTGTTACTTCTTATTGTTTCAGGGACAAAGCACAATTAAAAGTTACTGCAACAGAGTTAGTATGTGAAGAAGACGCCTTCATCCCAGTTGGCATAGGGGCATGGTAAAAGGCACACTGAGGGAAACACATTAATAACTTTGCTGGACATTGGTAAAATAAAACCCAAGTCATTATTTGTTCAAGACAGCTTTATTTTAAGTCATACATATCAATGCTGTGCCAAAGTAACCTGCAGTGCTTCCCCTCTCGTTCAAGGTTGTGGAGTCCAAACAGAACAACAGGAAACTGCAGCCTTAAGTAGAGGCTCAATCAGTGGAAACACCTGTGCTCAATTGGAGCATACCATGTAGTGCATGGGCACGAGTGACCATTTTCTTTCAAGTGTAAAAGTGTTATTGTTTAAGGCTTCTGCGGTCAGAAATGTAGAATATGTTGACCTATTTGATTTATTGTGTTTAATTAATTTGAACTACATTTTGAATATGTTTGTAGATGATAAGAATAACAGTAATTAAGGGTATAAATAGTGGATTGTCCTATGGGGAGGGGCTTAACATATATAAACCTCTGGCCACAAGTGTTTGGGAGTTAGTCTGACTGTAGAGCAGAGAGGTACCAGTTATATTTCGTCAACCTGTACATATATATTGAGGTTTGTTTTTCTTTCTATTATGGACTGTAGATCCTTGTTACTTTGTGTTCTTTCAGCATTTTGGCTGTTAATAAAAGCACTTGAGGATAATTTTTTTGTGACTCTAGCCATCTTATTTAATTTCCTAGTTTTTTCATCTACCCTTTTTGTAACATAGTGTGCATCTAATTTGCATTTGTTGTCTCTTTGCAGATAGACAGTAAATAACCACAGAACCATGAAACGCAGAAAACATAAAGGTCCTTTCAAGCATTTTTTTTTTCTGTAAAGCGGGTTGAACACACTTTAAATAAAAAAGGTTGAAGAAAGGAGGTGTGAATTCAAATCAATTACAGTGATCAGACGACAACTAGTTGCTAGAATGAAACCTATGAACGCGTACAGTACAAGGAAATTGGATTCATTTGTCCTGATAATAAACAAACTGCGAGTCAGAGAGCCCATCAACATCAAGCAGAGGCAATACATGAATGAAAGGGGGGATTCCAGTGGGTCAGTGTGTGTGTGTGTGTGAGAGATAAAGTGTTCCAACCCATCAGCACGGATTATGTTAGTGCACATCAAAGGCTGTCCTCCATTTCTCACTACACACACACACACACACACACACACACACACACACACACACACACACACACACACACACACACACACACACACACACACACACACACACACACTCACACACACTCTCTCTCTCGCACACAAACACACACACTCTCACACAGAGACAACCACACACACACACACACACACACACACACACACACACACACACACACACACACACTCTCTCTCTCTCTCTCTCTCTCTCTCTCTCT